ATACAGATATATATTTGAGCGCGCGGAGATCTTTATTATAAAGATAAACATTTGTCGTCCTTGAGTTCTAGCAATTATAAGCCATATTGTTGATCAGCTACATTTCTAATCTATTAAATGCTTGTGCCTGAGTACGTACTCATGTTTCCTGACCATTAAAAAGGGGCCTGGAATGTCGAATTTCAGGCCTAATTTCGCCCCTCCCAGACCCGGTTTAAAATCCAAGGGAAAATATTGAGGAATTTCACAATCTGCCCTTCAGCTGTAGACAAGGCTACTAGAGATTCCAGGGATCAATAGGTCTCCCTTTAAACTCAAATAGATTGTTATAATTATCATCATCATTTTCAATATTTTGTTCATTATTCCCGTGTAAAGTTAAGAAAGGGGAAATTTAAGGAGATCAAAGAAATTTCAAGCTGATGATAGTGAGGGCGTAAACTTTGTTTTGAAGATCAGCATGGTGGTGATTATGGGTACAAACAGAGCATGAATGCATACATATTGCATACTGTTGTTTACACTATCCAGGGAGNATGCCTACTTTTTTATACATATTATTGTTTAATAATTTGTCTTCAAGGGGGGTCATTATTGTTTTGTAATATTTTTGATTTTTAGTTTAGAATTTGGAGGCCTTTGATTGAAGATGGTTTAAAACTAAACATTCGGAAAATCCGATTTAAAATAAATCTTTGAACAAATCAAATGGTCAGAGAAAATGTTTCAAGTATTTTAAATCTGGACGTTTAAATTCTGCATACTTGCAAAATAGCAAAATATGCTAATTTATTTGCAAGAATGTTGTATGGGTTCATTTCAAGAGAAAAAGAAATCCCTCCAAGGAAATAACCTAAAATTTAAATTTTCGCCAATAATGATTTTATTAAAAGATAAATTACAATTTACAAGTACTTTTTTCTATTTAATATTTGACTCTGACATACGGCAGCCACAGTTTACAGAGTATACTGTACAGTGAACTCTGTACAGTTCGAAGATTTATTAGGTGCAAATCTCCCGCGTTTTTTGGTTTAAATATTTAAAAACGCTTTTATCTTAACCAGAGGGGTCACTCAACCCTTTAAACAGCTGACGCGGACAAGCCTATAGAAACAAGTCTTAGAAAATATGAAACAACACGCAAATTTATTTCGTTTATTTTTGCAAAGCCTGCGAGCCATTTGCTAATTTTAAGAATTGCGATAAAATTTCTAATTTTACGATGATAATACCATTTTGCATGCAGAGGGTTGTAAATAACTAAACTAATTTTTCTTCTTATTTTAGGTATGTAATAAATGATTGTTTTTATTTCATTTTTAAAAAACTTTAAAAGTATATATTCACGAACTTGTGGTCCAACACTTAGGCTTTCCAAGACGGTGTCAAGTATCTAACTAAGCCGTGTAAAGTATATCTTCCTATTTTCATGGGATTCTAGGGATTAATTTTTTACAACAAAAATTTAAAATTTTGAAATGTACGAGAATATATAATAACATAAGATCGACCAGCATTTGTAACTGACTTTTTAAGAGAAGAGCTTATAGTGTTAAACTGAAATACTAAATGAACCAAAGGAATTGATTCGCTACCAAAAACTCAAAATTTCTAATTTCTCTATCTTTTCAATTTGATGGTATAAGCCTGTAATATTTCAAACTTAGTTTATATGATCTTACGTACATAATTTATTGTTTGAAGTATGTAAGGTTCATAGACATCGGGTTAAAAAGAGGGATTAGAAAAATTGAGATCGTGGCAAGGACTCAATTCCTTTTTAAAAAACCTTAGTTTTAAAAACACAAAACCATATTTTTCCTTTAAATAAAAGTTAAGAGGGATCGCAATTTTTTAAAAATTTCACTTGAAAAGTGAACAATTTTTTTTAAAAAGTAAGTTTGTAATGTCTTTGAAAACTATTATACAGCCCTTTAAGTTAGGACCATTTAGAAAGTTTATTGCAGAAGGCTTTGATTATCTATGATTGCATATTTTGAATTTCAAGATCTCAAAGTCATGTTCGCTAAAACCTGTTATTTTTAATCTAAATTAATGTATTTTGCAATCATGGTGTGAGCCGTTATCTAACAAACATCTTCTATATGCGAATTATTTGCACAACTTGCTGTTTATCACGTAAATAATCCCTGATTACATGTCAAGGGGTTATAATGCTATTTTGAGAAGGGATGGAGTCAAAGAGAATAGAACATATATTATAGGTGAATTTACTAGAAAAAAGTGTAAAGCGGCCATTTTGTTGTACTGTTTCCATACTGCAGGTGTACTTCACATATTTATGCTATATAACCTTTTGGGCACTGGCATATCATTTTATAGAAAATCTAAAATTAATGTTATAAAGAAAACCAAATTATGAAATAGGCTGGTTTCANCCCCCCCCCCTAGCTATATTAACTTACCTTGATTTATAATGAGAGTGAAAATTTTGAGAGAAATAATTCTGAAAATTTTAGAATAATTTTCCATAATTCCGATTTGGTTTCCTGATACTCCAAATTATTCACGATTCCGTCCTTAAGTTCACGGTGCATTTATACCGGAACATTTCCACAATTTTTCAAAATCTTGTCAACATTTAAAGAAGCCTTAGAGTATTTTTGAATTTATAATAATATTTAGAATATTTGTAACCTTCTGATTATTATTAATCTTATTAATTGTTTTAATGTTTGATTATATAAATAATTTCATATGTCGGATTTATAACAATTGAAGCCATTCAACTGCGACATGCCTAGTGCTTATATCAATTATCGTTAATCTTGTCGGTGAGGGTTATTATTCATGAGAATGCATTGAGATTCCAAATTTAAAATTTAAAAAATTCCAGGGAATAGAATTTTCGAAAAAAATAAGCTTCAGATGATGTATAGATGTAAATCAAAATAATTTGATGATTTTTCTCAAACTTTGTTATCTTTTTTTATTCTTTGATTAATTCAACTTTTACTTTTAACACATTTTTATAGTCTAATAATACAAGTTAAAAATTTGATGTTTGTCTAGAATTTTGAGGAAAATTTGGTTCTTTAATAAAACGTGACGCATATACCTAACCAAACCTATACACATTATAACCACATTATACCTGCCCTTAAACTGAAATACTAAATGAACCAAAGGAATTGATTCGCTACCAAAAACTCAAAATTTCTAATTTCTCTATCTTTTCAATTTGATGGTATAAGCCTGTAATATNCTCTAAACTGCTATCTGATTTTCTCATTTTCACTTGCAAATGCATCCACCATAAATATTCAATCAAAGAGAAAAGAATTTATATTAGAGTGGAATTTACTAGAAAAAAAGTGTAAAACTGCTATTTTGTTGTACTGTTTCCATACTGCAGGTGTATATATTCTATTCTCTTTTTATTCAATTCATTTATCTTTTTTATCACAAATTTTGGGCCTAGAATTGTCTTTTACTTTTTTGTTTTATCTTGATTAACCTGCAGTTTCAGGTTAATTGTACTAAATGTGAGATTTAACAAAAAATATTTAACTTAAGCCAAACCAAACCAAAACTTATTTAAAATGACTGTTTCTACATGGTTTCTATCTGAAAGGGACTGAAAAAATTCATACCGAGAGATTCTTTAAATTCCTCTCTAATATATATTCTATTCTCTATGGATGGAGTTGCAAAAAAAAACAAATTGGCAACTATTAAATAGATTGATCGGACAGATCCTTCTATTTAAAAACTTCCAGCTCAATATATTTAAACGTATAAGATGAACCCCGAATATTTTAGTCCTTTGAAATCTTTAATCTCATGTTTTTGAGAACTGGCCTTTCCTATATAACAGCGCTGTTTTTTTATTGTTTGCATTTGTTTCGAACAGCCTGTATTTTGACCCTGATGTGTATGATGAATGGCTGTTTTCTTACTGATGAATCGATCCCAAGATTTAGTTCTTTTAAACTTTAGGATTAAAACATGAACAAAAAGTATAAATATATAAATGATAAACGAGGCCATTATCCATCAATTTTATGAGTTATCTAATTACGAAAGGTATTAAATGACTAGAAGCTTGTTAAAAGAAGTAATTCTTTAATTTTGATTTATTGATCGAATTTTTCAAAAAGAAAAGAAAAATGTTATTGTTATGTTATTGTTAAAAATCTATTTGGATAGCCTTAATTTTTTCGCTTAATTTGATAAATGGTCTAAAAAATTGATTAAATAATTCATGTAAAGTACAAGCCATAAGGATATTTATATGCTTGGTTAGATATGAATGCTTTGATACAGGCTTGAATTATGGCTTGGCTTAAAGTATACATCGCTGTTTATGGGATTGCTTGATTGGAGGTACTTTGATGAAATTGTCCGCAATTGTATATCACGCTATAGAGCTTGCGTACCTTTTTATTCCCTTTCCCCTTCCTATTTAGGCAATATTTTGTATACCTGCCCCCCCCTTTTAATAACAGGAAAAAATCGATTCTTATTTATTATGATTTTGACTGGTTACGTTAGTTGTTTGTAACCAGTATACCTGTAAGGTCTAAAGTAATCAATAGTTATAAATTAAAGCATCATCATAATAATACAAATTATGATAATGGGAAAATTTTGGCTTCCGTGAAAAATGTCTTAAATGTGAATTATAACAATTAATATTTGTTATCATTTGTAGTTTAGAATGATAGAACATAGGTAAGCGCTCATAGCGATATATTTCAAGTGACCCTCCATACAAAGATGGTATTGATCGATTCACAACGGTACCCTTGAAACCCTTATCAGAACAATAATATATATTATGACGTAGTTTTTGTAGATTAAAAGTCTTCAATTCTAATAATTTCTATATATATGTTTTCCTGCAGTAGAAATGTGCAAGTCACTTTTAAAGAGACACCAAACTAAGGATTATCAGTTTTTAAAATTATTGATTTCTAACTCTCTTTGCATGCTGTATTCAATATTTTTTTTTATTTCATTAATGTTTTGTTTAGTGAGTTCAATGGCGGGTTCGAGTCCTACGTTCCTCGGCCGATACCGGCAAACAAACCGGTTCTAACAGAAACCAGGTAATTTTTACGAGATTTTTAAAAAAAATTTTGACCAAGCAAAATTTCTTTATTTCGACCCAAAGGATTTTGTTAGTTGACTTTCTTTTGGCGTTTATTGGACACAAACAAACAGACAATTGAAATATGTATAAAATGAGATCCCCTCTGATGTTACGATGTAATCAAAACTGTAAAAGTCAGATTTAAAATTCCTCTCACTACCCTTTAAATTCTCTTTATTCCCAGCTTTCAGTTTGGACTTAAAGGGACTGTATGCCTTATTTTAATGGAATAAAAAATGGCATGTTCAATTCATAACAATGCCCTATAGACCTTTATCTTAGAAGAAATGGGTGGAATGGCGTGAATTACAGGGCTAGCAATTGCGCGAAATTAATCCACTTGCGCGCGCGGCGTTGGAATCTCTGGTTATAATCATTGTTGATTAGGATAACAAATAGTTTTAAAAAAACTAGAACGAGACTTCCATGTTTCAAAAACTTCGAATAAATTTAATAATTTTTTTTTCTAAAAATAAGTTTTTGAGCGTAAATAATAGTATTAACATCCCTACATGGTTAAAAGGAGATGTTTTCAGGTTTAAAATTAGAAAAATTAGATAATTTCCGGTTTATGATTAGGTTCAACACTAGGGGTCGACAAGGGGGGAGAATATCACATTTAGGGGTGTTTTAACACGGTTTTCATAATGCAAAAATGAGGGTGTTAAATAAAGGAATACGCTTTTACTAGAACATATTCTGTGTAAGTTATCACTCATCCTTCCTTATAAAAATATTTCCAAAAAAACACAAAAAAACATTTTTTCCAGTTTTAGGAAATCAGTTGAGCAATAAATTTAACAACTTTGATGAAAATATTATACAACTAGCAAGGAAACCCAGCGTTACCCGCACTTGGTCGTAAATTACAATTTATACTATTTCTCATAATTGCAGACGATCAAATTTATTTAGAATCTCAAAACTAAGCTTATAACATTCCCATGACTCTCCCGTGTTCCTCAATCAAAAGTTGAGGCAAATCGGTTCTGGGGTTTCCGAGTTATGATCGGACAAACAAACTAACAAACACCCAAACAGAAATTACAACTCTTTATGTAAACCATATGTAAACTAGCTAAAGGGCCCGGCCTTGCCCATGAAAAAAAATGCTATACGAATGTCTTCTTTTATTATATAGATATATTATATATAGATTAAATAATACTATTTTCTGTGAGCTGCTACAATGTAATGAAATAAGTGTCATGTTTAATGTTCACTCCACTTGATCTTGAACANATAAACTCAAATTTGAAATCTAACATATTTGATTTAATGTTAGTTCATACTTTTCGTGTAATGTTTATTATTAAAGAGACTGTTCACTTTATTTAAGGTAAAAATACATCGTTTAGTAAACGCTTTATTACGTAAGTTAAAGCGTAAGATCATTTTTTTAAAGCATTGATAATTTATAAATAATCGTTCCAAATCTAGAACGATAACGACCGCTGCTTTAGTTCAAAGAAAATCAAGAAAATTATCGATATCTGCTGCAAATTCCAGATGGCAAAAAAGACGACTTTCAATAGATCTTCAACAAACGTTTCATGGTGGATATTGTGGTATTCTAAATAACATGTTGAATATCTTTATTCAACCCCCCCCCATGTATAAACTTTTAGAAAACAGAAGATAATATGAATAGTTTAAATATATCTTATTGTATCTATATATTTACATATATAAATAGATTAGATACTAAGAAATATACAGATTTCGCTTAGTAACCTCTCAACCTCTGGACAAATACCATATATAGTGACAGAGCCAGACATTTTAAATTTAATTTGAACAATCCTCGATAGAGCCGGGCATTTAAAAAAGTCTCTTTAAACAAAATTCAACAGAGTCAGAAATTTTAAATAGTTTCTTCGAACAAACACTGACAGAGCTGGAAAATTTAATAAGTTTCAATTTGAACAAATCCCGATAGAGGCAGAAATTTTAGATAGTTTCTTTGAACAAACACTGACAGAGCCAGTCATTTTAAACAGTTTCTTTGAACAAAACCCAACAGAGCTGGAAATTTTAAATAGTTTCTTTGAACAAACACTGACAGAGCCAGACATTTTAAATAGTTTCTTTGAACAAACACTGACAGAGTCAGACATTTTAAATAGTTTCTTTTAACAAAACCCAACAGACTCCCTCTCATAAGTTTCGGCCTCTGAAAAAAAATACACAATATGTACGCAAATACAATATTTGTTTTGTCGAATAATGTGAATCTGATTTTGAAGTGAAATATGAAAAGGTAAAAACACAAGGTGACTCCATAAATCAGGCTGCTGCATGTTCCATATTTTATTTATCATTGCTCATCAAAACAAAACGTGAAAATACAAAAATTGTTGTTCAAAACAATATTTTTCCATGGGGTTCCCCTAATGTGCGGTAACAATAAGTTTCTATAGGGTTGGTCCATTCATTTTTTACTTTTTATCAAAAAAAACAATAAAAATAGATAAATGAATTTATGCAAACATGATTTTAAAGCTTCATTTTTTCATCTTTTCAGGGTAAGGATAAAATACTTCACAATAAGTTTGTATCATCTGAAAATTCAAAATATTAAATGCTAAATTTGGAATCATTTCCAAAATATAATTTGACATATTTGTTTTTAGATTGGACAGTTCTGGGGAACATAGTGAGAGTTTGAGCAGTCCAACCGATAGCATGGATTCTAAGAAAACACGCAGAAAATCCTCCAGTAGTCCGGCGGCGGTAAAATCGCCGGCACTGGCGATTAAACGCAGCGATAGCGCGCCGGTGACCCTACAAGGCTGGTTGTATAAGCAGGGAAGTGATGGGCTACAGCTCTGGAAAAAACGTTGGTTTGTTCTCTCAGAGTTCTGCCTGTTTTACTATAAAGGTGAGTTTTAAATATTCTGGTCTATAGGAAACTATTATGTGAATTATCAAAATTATCAAAATTCAATGCTTTATCCTCCTCGGATACTAACGAACACTGAGGCATCTATTCTTGTTTACAAATTCCGCCCAGAGAGAACTGGTTTCAATATGAGTATACGCAACTGCAATTAACTTTCCTTGCATTACATTCTTGTGTCTCAATAAAAATACGGATTTATATCTTTGGCTTTTACCTTTTAGAAACTTCTGACTGACATCACTGTTACTAAAAAATAATAGCTTAAAGGACACAGTTGGTAATAAGGGCTAAATGCTTCTCTATGAATTTGGAGGGACTCTTTAAATTTATAGAAAACAGGTGTTTGATACCAAGCTCAAACTATATTGCAGTAATTAAGTTTACCATTTAATCTGAATTCTCAGAAACATTTTTATCCTTTTCTTTGAAATTGCACAACTTATCTAAAAATAGAAGATGATCGACATTTTTAGAATGTTTCAAAAATCATCATTTTCGATAGAAAAGGCTTTATATAAATCCAGATACAGTAAATACAAAAACGACTATTATTATTTCAAAAAGTCCAATAAGATTGAAACAAAGTAACTGTATATTGTATTAGAGCCAGACCTATTTATTAGTATCATAAAAGACGTTAAAATGCATTCATCATATTACATATTCATGTTTTGTTATTTTTATTTTGTTAATGTATTCATTCATGCAGTTCCCCTCTTCCTTTCTTCTTACTTTGTATAAATTAAGAAGTGCCTGAGCCTAATGAATGGTCTGCCCCTGATTAATCTGGAAATCCTCCAAAACCTTAATCCGAATACCGCCGCATGTTATTTAGTATTTCCCGCCAAATCCCATCGGACATCTTGGATTCTTCCTTATTTAGAAACAGTTCCAGAAACCTGCTACTTTTAACCTTGATTCCATTAGATAATTAAATCAACACAGTTTTGATTAAAATAAGGTCAAATTGTATCTCAAAGGGATTGTAAACGTAAAGTCTATTGACCCTCCATTAAACGGTTGTCCGATTTATAAGAGTACCCTTAAATCAGAATATTTCCTTGACTTTTTAGAGAAACAACAATTGAAAAATAAGTACCCTTGTGAATTGAACCTGCCTGCAGGCTGCACAGGGTCATTTAAAATCTTTTCAATATTGGTTAGGGTGTGAAGGAGGATTTTTAAAAAGTGCAAAAAGTATGTCGAAAATTTTTTAAAAATAGTTATTTTTACTTTTAGCAAATATTAACATATGACACATGTTATTTTATCCATTTTTCAAGGCTTTTTCAAATATATAAGTCTTAGCCCTGTTGCTTAATTAATAAAAAATTTATTAACCATTTCTGATTTTTTTGAAACACCAACCCGTCGTTTGACCGTTCTCTACCCTACCCTATACATTAAAATAAAAAAATGTTGAGCTGAATTTGTTCACAACTTTTATGTTGAAAAAGTGAAAAAGTTTTAGTATAAGTCATTTTAAGCTATTTAGAAGAAACCACATTGGGGGAAACCCCCCCCCCCCCTTCGTGATAGGGTTAAAAGCTTTAACTTAAAATTCAGTCATGAAACAAATAATAAAAATAATATTAATATTGATATATATTTCAACTGTTAATGAGAATATTTCTCTTTATGGTCGATGAATAAAATGACTAAGATGTTATTAAGTTATTTAGATTTGAAATGTTCAATTAGAAAGTTATGGAACCTAATTTTTTTAAATTTAGGTCCTCATATTGAAAAGCAGTTGGGATCAATCCTTCTTCCATCTTATTCTATTTCCCCCTTGTCAAAAGATGACGGAGTCTATAGGTAAAAATAAAATAAAATCATAAAATTAATAAAATCTACAATTTGCAAAATAATTCCATAATTCATAAATCTTATTTTCTTCAAATTTGATTAAATCATTCATGAGCAAATAAAATAATATTGGAAATAATTGTCCTTGAAATATTTGATTTTTGATTTTGTTTCTTCTTTTTTTTAGGAAATATGCCTTCAAAGCAGAACATGCAAATATGCGAACCTATTACTTCGGCGCTGAAACTAAGGGAGAATTTAAAAATAGTTAAATAATTAAAATTTGTTTTTGAAAATGATTTTTATTTTCTGTTTCAAAATTTTCTTTCTTTATTTGAAAATTTGTTTAAGGTAAATTTTTAAATTTTCTCCTCCTGTCAGGATTCTATGATTCAGTGGATGAATAGTCTCAGTCTGGCCTCTATCCTTCAAAATGAAAACAAGTAAGGAAATCAACATCAAATGGATTGCTTATATGAAAATGCATATTTAAGAAATAATGGTTCACAACGTTGAATTATGATTAAGGATGCCCATGAACAACAATGATAAAAGTTATAAAATGTTGTCAATTTCCTTTTGATTCGCCATGTTTAAAATTTGTTGACATTTGTTATATATTAATAAAAGAATGTTACAATTGAATCACACCAATGAATCACATTCAGGGACATTGAAAAATAAAGAGAAAAGTTGACAATATGTGTTTTATTGCTAAGTAAATGTATTTTTGTTGACAAATTACGTTTTTTTCAGTCTTCGTCCTGAGATCCTTGCCCGACAACTAGCTAAACAAGGAAACTACCCTCCTCAGATGCGTCACTTTCCTCCACCCCATAGGATGATATCTCCACCTCATGGGATGCAACAACATTATACCCAGCAGATGCAGCAGTACCAAGCCGGAAGTCAGATCAATCAGCAACAGCAATATCTTCAGCAACAACAGTTTGCTCTTCAACATCAACAACAGCAGCAGCAACAAAAGATGCTTCAACAGCAGAGAGGGGATATGCCTCAAGGCCGAACAGAGGGACGCCAACCCCTTTATGCCAATGCTCCTCCAAAGCCTAAGCGTCTAAACACAAGCCGAGACTACTCTCCCTCTCCAGACAACTCTCCTGAGAGATCCCAGAACAATGGAGTGGCATACAACGATCGAGAATCTAGATCGGATGATCCATCTTTCTTAAGACACAGATTACCACAAGAAAGAAGAACTCCAGAGGCATATGGTAGATCAAATCCTAGACTCTCATCTGATCAAGATTCTCTAACCCCAAAAGAGTATGAGGAAGTGTATAACAATGCGTATAATGATAGAAATGAAGAAATTGTTAGGTACTCAAGAGATCCTTTTCTAACTCATAAAGATCGGCGCATGTCAACAGGGAGCAATCCTAGGAAACAGGCAAACATTCCTCAGCAGCAGTCTCGTGATTCAATGTTCGTCCAACCACGAAGTGAATATATCACTGAGAACCATGGGTTACCAATACAGAGAAACCAAGTTTCTACCAACCCTACTAGTGAAAAGGTGCCTAGGCCGCACAGTGCAGACTTTTTGGAATTTGAGCGAACCCATTCCATGTTACCCAACCAGGCCCCGAATGAGACGAGGCGGGCTAAGCAACCGGCTCGACCAAAGTCCAGCATTGGTGAAATCCGTAAATCAGATGATTTCTGGTCAGAAGAGGTTTATGCGCAAAAAATGCGAGAAAGTGCATTTGTTTACGATCCTTCTAGTTCAAGATCCCAGAGCCGGGCAGGTTTAAAGACTCCTATGACAAGATCTAGTACCACGCCTGGGTTCCAGGACCAGCACATTCCAGAAATGAATTTGAGTGACATGAGTAATGAAGATAATTTTCATCCACTTCAACTTTCTCCAGCTCGGAATTTGGTACAGGAACACAGTCCACAATATGCTCCTCAACTCCCGCCACCTGCCAACTATCAAGACAACAGTCCACGAGATCATAATCATAAATTATCACCAAGGCACCCTAACTACAACTACCATCAAAATGGCTCACCTGCAAATCAGTCCTTTGCTAGCTCAAAATCACCAGTTTTCAGACAAAATACCTCTTTCCATGAGGATCAGTTGCTCAACCACTCTCACAATCATCTGCAACAGCAATACCATCAACAAATGCTCAACTACAGCCAACTAAATCAATCCTCAAGCAGCGGCTCAAATAGAAGTTATATAATGCAACCGGGTTATGCTCAGAATCAGCAAGTTTATTTAAGCAAAACCTCACATTTATCCCATCCCATTCATTCAACCCAGCCCACTCAGGCATCTCATCCCATTCATATAATCCAGCCCATTCATTCCAACCACACGGCCCAACCTATCCCAGGGCATCAGTATTCACAGACTAATGAAGAAACTCCCCAGTATCCATACAACCCAAAGTCATCTTCCAAGCCTCAAAACATCAATTTGTCATTCCAAGATGGAAGCGGCGTTATGAAAAGAAATGAAACTGGGGACATGAGCTACATAGACAATGAGCCAAGGATTACAATGCCGCCTTCTATTCCTCAACCCACCCCTAGAAAATCCTCCAACCATACCCCAACCATGTACCAAAACATTCCAACCAACTCAAAATCTCACTCTGATCCAAGACCCCTTTCCTCCACTCGTCTTGAGACAGCTACCCCTAACAGATTTTCTGAGAGATTTGACAGTGACAGAAGTCAAGATTCAAATAGTGACTTTCGTCGGTCTGCCAGTGCCCGACTACCGAAGCAAAAGACGCGTGTTGGAGAGTTTTCTAATGGGTTGATGTTGGATGAATCTGATGACAGCAAGAGAACCTCAGATCAGGTTAGATCATGTTTTTATGCAGGTCACTGGGGTTAAGGTTTGCCCTTCATTTTGCACGGCTTTTCCTTAACATTTTCCCGTTCTTTTGTTGAGGGTTTCAAGCTTGATGATCACATGTGGTTTTATTTCAGAGGGAGGAGTCAATGAAGAGATTGTTGGAGTGGAAACAAAGGATGTTGCAGTCCCCTCTCACCAGGAAGTCCTCAAGAAATACTTCAAGGTAAGGGCCCTCCTTTCACTTGTCCTGATCTATTTAACACATACTCTTTGCTTGGCATCGGGATTCATTACTAATCACGGAACAGGGAACTCACATCAGTAGACTTCTGATTTTTGAATTTTTATTTATCCAAAAATAGGTCAATTATATACCTTTCGCACATTAATAGTTTTTTGGGACTTTCCATCCTTAGGAGCAGCATCAGACTGCTCAAGATAAATGCTAAACCTGAATCCTTTTTTCTTGTGCGATGCATTACATGAATTAATATCAAATGCATTATCAGCATAGCAAATGCGTGCAAATATAAACACTGTGGGCTAGAACATGAACAAATATATTTTGTTTATTAAAGCAGATACTTTTCAGTCCATTTTAACAGCCCGTCTCCTTAATAGGGCTGTAGACATAATGTAAATATCCCCCCATTTAAAGATTCCAACGTCCGATTCTCAAAGGCACCCTTCAAAGCTTTAGATTATTAAGAATTCATGAAATACCCAAGTTTCTAACTTTACAGTTAATGATTAACTTCATAAACATTGAAGGAAATTGTCGAAATTTAACCACTTGTCAAGCTGCAAAAAAGATTATAAAGATCTTGCACATTATTACTCGGATAAAGGTTTAAAAATTCATTCAAATTTTGAAAATGTTTCTAAACAAATATTTTTGCGTCACTTTACTGTTCATCTCTTGCAAACTTTAGAATCAGATTTTATACAAATCTAATATTTAGGACACAGACTCCGACTAATTCGGACTCTCCTGTCCCCTCCCTGCCTACTGATGATATCCGGAAGCGTGTTATTGAAGAGCTAGCCCTGCAAGATAACACTGCTACTAATCAGGTAGAATATATTATTTATGAACGGGATCGTTCATCTCTTTTTAAATATTTACAATTTCGCAAAAATTTGCTTTCGATGTGCGCGGAATTGCACAAAACCCCGCATCTGATGGAATCCCCCGTTCAAAGTTTTAAAAAACCTCTAAATTCACTTTTAAATCGTGTTTTTCTGAGTGATCACTAGATAGAGAATTATTGTGCATTTTAAGTGCTATATGTAAAGCTTACATTGTTTAGTTGGGATACTAAAATTCACAATTAGCATAAGTTGTTTTTAAATATGTGAACAAAACCTCAACCAGTTGCCGACATTTTTGTGTGCCAAAAAATACTAATGAGTTACCTATACATACATATTTGTTACTTTATTGAGTCACTTGAACTAGAAATTGGTCCTAACTTTTTAATCGACCGCACCTTTACCAAGGAATTCAGTCTTTGCCTTAAACTCAAATTTTTAAATCCCTATGCCTTTGCAACCCAGCGGCGTAGACATTAGTTATTTTCAAACAAAGAATTCTGGTAGATCAAATAAATAATCTTGAGTTAAAATTAGCAAAGGTTTACAAAGGTAGTAAAGATATAGAGAATAGAACATTTTAGTTTGTGACAATCAATCGGTTCCATCTTTTATAAATAATCTAAAGTCTGATCACTATTCCTGGGCCAAATAGCATTTATTTCGGGGAAAAAAATATTTTAAAAAGACTTTTAAGAGTCCGCGGAACAATTTTCCCCAAAAGATGAAAGAACAATTTTTTCAAATAGAGTTAATATTTTTTAAGCTTATTTCATCAGTTTTGCTCTTTTTTGTAAAATTAAGTCAGTCTTTTCATAAAGTTGAAACTCAACTCTAATATTTGTTTATTTTTTAGTAACATTAACTCTATAACTAGATGCCTAATTTCAATCCAACTTTCAAAAGTTTGACTAATGAGGTTTAAGTACCCGCATTAAAGAGTTGATTAGCTGAGCATCCTAATAAAATGGGTGATTAACTAAATTACAGACAATCTTTTCTCATCTAATGTGCTATCTTCCTATTCATTTTTCTCATCATTGCTTCAAATACTTTTAGGATTTTTGACTGTTTTTTTATCTATTCATAAATCATTTTTAAAATTTGTTTTGATAAAGTTTTAATCTCTTCGCTGTAGCATCATTAATTGTGTTTTTCCCACGAACCAATCTTGATCCTGCTTATCTATAATCTTTATAGGTTTATTGCCTGGTTTCAGATCTTTCTATCTATCTATATAGGTTTAGTGCCTAGTTTCAGATCTATCTATATAGGTTTAGTGCCTAGTTTCAGATCTATCTATATAGGTTTAGTGCCTAGTTTCAGATCTATATATTTATATATCTATCTATCTATGGTCATTCATCTATTTATATATATTTATATGTTAATTTCTCTATCTTTTTATATATCTATCTATCTATGTGCATTCATCTATCTATTTACATACCTATGTTTATATATATTTATTCTGCGACCTTATCTCATATGAGGTCTTGTAATGATAATCCCTGTAATTATCAAACAGAGCGTTAATATTTGCAACCCTGAACTAAACTTCTTAACTACCTAGTCATGCCTTACCTAACCTACCTACCTATCTACCTACGTGCCTACCCACTCACCTACTTACCTTCCTACCTACTTACCTACCTGCCTACCTACCTTAACTTTCTTCCTTCCTACCTACCTACCTACCTACCTACCTACCTTAACTTTCTTCCTACCTACTTACCTACCTACCTAATTTAGGACGCTGGGAAGGATCGCCGTATCTCAAGAAAGAGTTCCTCTGGATCGCGAGGATCACGATCAAGATCGTCTCCAAGGATCGCTCCAAGCAAGAATTCTCTTCTATCCTCCGATGACGAAGGTATGGATCAAATTAATGATTTAAAGGGTGTGATCACGAACTTTGGAGTTCTTTGATCAAATGTTTTGAAAATATTCCAAATCTAAAAACATGTTTTGTAATTTAAGATCAACAAATCCAAAGTTCTGAACACTCCCTTTGGTGGCAGGGTCGTGTACAATTTTTTTCTAATATGTTTGCTTTGGACTTTCTTCAAAAACCTAATTTTAGTAAATATTTAATCAATATCAATATTATAAACTTTAATCTTATTTTCAAAATTAACTTAAAGGGGCTGTCGTTCTTATTTTAAGTAACCCAACATTTAAAGAGGGGTATTCACAATTCACAACGGTGCCACTGAAAACCTTAATTTGATCAACAATATGGAGGATAACAGTCCCTTTAAGAATTAGATTAGATTTAACTAACACACAGGGAAGGATAGAAAACACGAGACATTTACCTAATATGTAAAAGTAATGCGCAATTTGGAGACACATTCTCCAATAAAAAGTCTCATGCTCACCGACTAACCCTGTGCATATATATATAAAGTATACTTTTAAATTTTAGAATTTTTTTAGAAACTTATTTTTTACTGAATCAATGTAATCTCTATATTTTCCATCTATAATCCTCTAACATCTATCCATCTATCTATACTAACATATTTTTCCCTGAACAATATAGGGTGCATCAAACTGTTCTGTGCTATAAAACTGTAATTTACTTTTAGGTACTGTACTGTACTGTACTGTACTGTACTGTA